CTTTTTCTGCTAAAAGAGGGGAATTTAGGTCCGACATTTAGGGCTAATGCCTTTTTTCACCAGATAAATATTTTTGTGCCCCGCTTGCTTGCATGCAGGGGAGGCGAACCGGCCTCTCCAGGTCTTCCTCACAGAAGCAGATGAAAGCAGGCTTTGTTGCGACTCAAAACCTGCCAGTTTTTCCTCAATATTTAAGATTAATTTTTTTGTGTTAAAACTTCTTGAAAGGTGTTCTTGCTTAGGGGATTCTAGTGCCGGGTGATCACACAGAGGGATGAAGAAATTATTAACATATGGCTTGATGTGGCATATAGAGATGCCAAGTTTTAAATATCAAAACCAAAGATTTACAGCACTGCTAAAGGTGAAGGAATTCTGGGAAGTCACCATGTATCATATAGAGCATGGAAACTTTTAAATTTCAAAACTGAAAACTTACAGCACTGCTAAAAGTGGAATGGTGGGAAGTCACCATGTTAAAACATGTTGAAATCTGTCTCTGCTAGTAGATGTGCTGAAACAGGCTTTCTTAGCCATCTCTGGTCAAGCACGTAAACATCGACTTCCTTCTTTTGGGTCTTGCTTTTGCCTGTAGATACCTTAATCTCTGTAAAAGTAAGCACTTTGGTAAGTAAGTGAGATCTGGAGTGTGCTGGTCTGGTTTGACTACTGGAAAGTCTTAAAGCTAGTTTTCAACAAACATAGAGCATGCACAAAAAAAGCTGTTGAAAACTTGTGTAAAATTTTAATGCCCCTGAGATGCAAAGATTCTGCGAGGGAAGAGAGTGATCCTGACAATTTTTGAAAGGACTTCGTATTTCTGCTAAGCTATCCTAGTCACCCAATTTTAGTTTGAAGAGTTTGATTCTTAATATTTATATCAGAAAATTGCTTGTTTGGTCAAGGTCATAAAGTAAATAGCCAGGGATTGTAAAGACAGCGATATTAGAGCTGAACTAAAGGAGCTTTCCCCATGTTTTGTTGTAATAGTGGTTCTCATGTTCTGGTAGTAGTGTGCATGGTGACGTACTGCTTTAATAATCAGCGCACAATCTGATCTTCTTGCTAAGTGCCTAACTAGCAATTTGAGGTAGGTGGCAGCCAGTAACTAGTTAATGATCATTAATGCTGCGTGAGAGGCGTATACTTAAAATGTCACACTACGCAGTATGATATGACAGGAGAAATACAAGGCTCAGTACTTCTGTGAACTAACTATTCAAGCCTAATTAATTAGTGGTGTTTTTGTTGGGTTTTTTCCCCCCTCTTACAGAAGGGGTCCTCGCCGGTTGCTCCAGTTCACATTGTCAATGAAGAGTCAGCTGACAAGACTAATTTGGGCTTTATTCATGCATTTGTGGCTGCTATATCGGTCATCATTGTGTCAGAACTGGGGGATAAGACCTTCTTCATTGCAGCCATCATGGCAATGCGGTACAACCGTTTGACTGTACTGGCTGGTGCTATGCTTGCCTTGGGACTGATGACATGCTTATCAGGTTAGCACTCTTCTTTTTGTTTCATCTCTTAAAATGTGCTGGGTACATACTTATCAATAAATCTTCATTGAAATTAAACAAAGGTAGTAGGTATGTGAAGTTTTCTGTTCTGAGGAGAGTATGAAGGTTTTCCTGGGGACCATGGCTCAGATTGAATATTCAGGCTCTTACCTGTAATGAGGTGTTTGCGCTCCCTGGACCTCACTGTGAGTTTAAGGAGGAGGAATGCGATTGGGAGCCTAAGCACTTCCTTTGATTTTTGGGCCACTAGTTTCGTTTTTATTTTTAGCTCCTGTTAAATTAGCATGCCTAAAGGGAATATGGGAGTGACTTCTGTTTTTCCTCCTAAGGCGAAAGATTCTTAATGTGATGACAAATTTCCCTTGTCTGACTTGTGTCCCTGTGTGTGTAGCTGTTTGGATTTGTGCTGGGAGCTGCGTAAGTGGAAGATGACGTTCTGCTGTGATCCTTTGGGATAGCTGGTACTGACAGAGTCAAGAGCTGGGGGGGGAGGGGGGGGAGGAGTGAGGTGTCAGGTGGCACATGAGGAACCTGTAGCTGTGGGTGCTCATGTACTGTGATCGTAAAATGGAGCAGCCTTCAGATATATCAGATGCAGCATAAATTTTGTTGTAGGTGTGCTCATTTCTAACGATGCCCATTTCAGAAATAATTGAAATAGTGTTCATTGGTTTATATACACTGGAGACAGCCAATTAACTGGCTTCAGGCTTCTCGGCGAGTTTTTCTATGAATGGTTTTTGGATGTGTAGCTGTATTTATATTGCTGCAATTATTATTGCAGTCTTGGAGCAGTTTCCATTTGCACTGTATGTAATGATGGCATTGTGTGAGTTTCTTCTTTTACTCACTTACTATAACAGTCTTTGACACTTCTTCAATTCTGCACTACTTGCTTCATTTGATGTTACTTAGTACGGCAGGTGATGCACTATTCTGTAAATCTTGCAATCTCTTTTCTCCTGCCCATTACAGCTCTCCCATTTTCTATACTAAGTCTTTCTTCAAATCTTTCTTGATGCTTTTTTGTAAAAGCTTTCTTTTCTGCTTTATTCCCCAGTTCAGAAGTTCCCAACTATTTCTTCCTTTTCAGAAAGGAGCTTTTTTTTTTTTCCCTTTTCTCTCCACTGCCCTTGTTTTATACAAGCTGTGTCTGGAAATTCCTGGGGGTTTTGCCCGCCTTGATTTCATGAAAATATGCTCATTTAAACTCACTGGCTCCAAGGAATCACTACTTGGGGTGTTTTTTCAAGCTGTGCTTAGAGACAGTTCTACCCTTATGGCAAAATAAGCTTCTTTATCATTCCGATTATTTCATTATTTCTATGCTTGTATATGCAAGTAATGCTAAAAAAAAAAATAGAACTTTTTGTATAGTTTCTTGCATTCTTTGTTTTAGTATTTTCAGTCTTCAAAAAGAAGTTTAGTTTAATTTTTTTTTTATTTAGCTGTGCAACTAATACTGTTATTCGTATATGTACGTGCCATGTTTTCTAATAGTACAGCCTGATTAATTTTGGTTTCATAGTCTTACTTTTGGTAGTGGCAGTGCGGATTAATTTCCAGATTATGTAGTAATTTTTGAGTGCGATTTTCAACTATGAAAGTGTGTGCAAGAAAACACATGTGGTAATGTGCTTCCTTTTAGCTAATTGCACGTGGAGTAAAACAACAGAAACAGTTGTGAGTGCATGGTCCAAAAGTTTGTCCTGGATATGTAGAAACAGTTGTGAGTGCATGGTCCAAAAGTAGTTTGTCCTGGATATGTGTTTCTTCTTCTTTGAGAAGTAGTTTTGGCTCAGTTGGATTGCCTTCGAAACCCATAAAAGTAGATGCACCGTGGAGGTAGCTTTTTGGTCTTTGAGTGGGATCAGTGCTTTTAAATTAAAGGAAGATCAAAGTTGGTCACGTTTTGTGTTTGTGGGGAGTGTGGGAGAGAAGGCAATAGTAACGTGCAGGTATTTGCACTTGGCAAAAGAAGAGAGACATGGATTCGCACAGCTGGATGATTTGTGGGTATGTCTAGTAGATTTAACTTGTAGAAAATCTTATTCTAACTTTATCTGATAAATTAAATGATTGGAAAGAGATGCTATCCAACATGTAGTCTTATATTAAAGGGGAATTAACTGGTATACACCATGACTAATCTATCATGATTACAGATGATAGTTTCATGGCATGCTTGGAGAAAGGCAGAACTTGCATAGTCCTTGATGGGAAAGATAATGTTGCTTGGACTGGCACATCAACTTTGCCTGGTGTGCCTTGTCTGCGTGTTAGTAGACTTCAGTCTCTGGTGTGACCAGTAATGCTTGGAGTTTCTAGAGTGTTGTTATCTTGCAAAAAAACCCAGAAAATTATATAAAACTAACGAAAGACGTAGTATTTATTTATCGGTGGATATTGCAGATTTTGCTAGCGAGCATTTCTTAGATTTGGGAAAAACAATTATGATCCTCATGCTTATTTTTTTAAATCACACATTTGTTTTCTTTTCAGTTTTATTTGGCTATGCCACCACAGTTATTCCTCGTGTGTACACATACTATGTGTCAACGGCACTGTTTGCGATTTTTGGCATCCGAATGCTTCGGGAAGGCTTGAAAATGAGTCCAGATGAGGGTCAGGAAGAGCTGGAGGAAGTTCAAGCAGAAATAAAAAAAAAAGACGAGGAAGTAAGTCATAAACTTTCTGTGAATTATGGCTGATGAAATAGTTACAGCCATGAAGCTGTAGAATGGCATTGTCACGTTTGGGGTGTTCAGTTGTGTCTGTGACTGATAATCTGACACAGAAAACGTGTGGTAAATGGGACAGAAGTGGCCCCTGGAGGCTGTTTCAACAGGTGATTCCAGTTCTGTGGCAAGCCCGGCTTCTCAGGAAAAAAGGGACTTTCTCCATAGAGTCCTTTTTTTTTTTTTTTTTTTTAAATGCATTACTAGCAGAGAGAATATCAACAGTTTACTCTTGCCTCTACTTTTATTTCTTTTTATGGTCAGGCAGAATAATGCTGAGGTTTGTAGTGTTGCAGCAAAGGTCTCCATTATGGTAAGTTTCTAAATATACTGGTCCACTTCTAAGGAGTAGCGTGGAGTATTAATCTTATTTCTTTCAAGATTTTTTTTTACCCATTAGTTTTATGAAATCCTAATTTGAGAGCCACCACTTGGGAAGAGGGGGATCCCTGCTTTAAAAATAGGAGGAAATCTGTGGTTAGAAAGCAGGTGTCATTCCTACTGAAACTGTTGCGTAAGTGCAAGCAGTACAAGATGGACAATAATTGGAGGTTCGAGGTGATTACCAGTGTGTGTACGTGTGTGTGTGTGTGTATAGCTAGTTTTTAAAAATGGTGTCTAATATAAATAATACATTGATAATGCAGCAGTCAGTGGCTAATAACATTCCAGTTACTAGCTTTACAGTTTAAGTATTTCATTTCGGTTGTTTAGATGACATTTCTAATCTTATGGTGTTTGTTTTTTTTTTTTTTCCCCCTTGTCCTCCACAGCTTCAGAGGACTAAACTGTTAAATGGGCCAGGAGATGTGGAATCAGGGCCAGGCACCACTATACCTCAGAAGAAGTGGCTACATTTTATTTCTCCAATCTTTGTTCAAGCTTTTACTTTAACGTTTTTAGCAGAATGGGGTGATCGTTCCCAATTAACAACCATAGTCTTGGCCGCCAGAGAGGTGAGTGTTGCAGAATGCCCACTGTTCTTTTGCCCTCTTTGGGTTGCCCGCAGAGAAGTGGGAGAGACAAAGTACTCTTGCAGGAGGTATCAAATTCACACCTGCTGCCTTGCTGTGCCTTACTTGGTGTTACAGCTGTGCCAAGACCTGAAAATAAATTCACTGAAGCTCTGTGTATTATTAAAACTATTGTTATGTGATTGGGAGTGCACAGGCATTTCTGGAAATAGTTGTTTTATATCATGCAGCTGAATACAATTGTTTGTGCTACAGCATTGAGACTTGTTATAGAACCTCTTTTTCTTTGATCTGTGTGGTCATACAGTTTTAACACAGTAGCTTTAAAAGGAGACCTTCATCCCAGCAAACTTAAAGCTGTTAAAAAGATACTTCTTCTTAAAAATCTAAGTGAATACGGTAGTGCATAGAACTAAAATAAACTATAAACTGCTGTGCAGTAAGTAATACTGTAAATGAAATTATATTCACGATGATGGTTGGAATGTATATAACTGTATTATATTTAAAGGTAAATTAAGGCTTATAGTCAATCTTTTAATAAACATAAGTAGCTTGTCTGTGTTCTTTCATACATTGAGATAATTTACATTTTTTCGCTAGGAATCATGCTTCTTTCAGTGCACTTTCAGATCTTCCCTAGAGATAAATCAGGGCTGTGTAATGAAGGAGGCTATAATCTGTCGGAGCCTCTTGTCTTTATTTACAGTGCAGGAAGGTGCTTAGAGCTAAGGAGGCAGGGAGCAGCACCACAAGAAGATGATCTCATTGTTCGGGCAGTTACATGCCATCTTGGAAAATGAGGAATTGTTACTGCCTCTGCCCAAGTTTTTATATGGTGCTAGGCAAGTTGCTTAAGCCCATCTTTTCACAGGCGGTGGTTGACTTCTGGTTTGCATTTTCTGAGTGTCCCATTAGGAAGTGTCCATCAGACTGGTCTTATTTGTGAAGTGCTGAGCATTGCAACTAAAGACTGTGGCTGTTGCGCCTTTCGCATATGAAGTGTTTGTGTAAGTGCTACGAAAGCGAATACTACAAAAAATGAATTGAAGATATCTTGATCTTGGGCTTTCAAAATCAGTGAATGATTATGATCTGGATCTTTTTTCATTTTATCTGTGGGATTCTTTTACACCCCTTTGTTTCATAATCAGATAAATCCTTGTTTGTGAAGTACTAAGATATATAGCGGGAATACTACAGAAGTGCTTGTGAGGAAATAAATTATCTTTATACAGAGATTTGAGTAGTGTGGTAAGTCAGCTGGGACTGTACATTCTTCAGTGAAAAGAAAACAAAATACTGCATGAACGTTCATTAAGCAGTAGTGTTCATCTTGTCACAACAAACAAACAGGGCTCCTTTGGAGGGAAAACCGGTGATAATTTGGCTGTCTTGGTGTATTCACCAGGGGAACGAGTTCAGTCTGTCTTAACCTCCTCCTGACAACAGTCCTTAAGAACTTGATTTTACACCTTAATAGTTCAATGTGTATAAGAATTGTTTATCTGTTTAAGGAAACTCCATAGTCCTACTAGACTGGCTTTGCCTCGGCTGCTGCGTCTGAGCACTTCTGCTCCTGGAGACTATGCTGAGGGAAGCCGTTGTAACTTGTTACCTTCCAGGAAAAGCTCTAGGGAATGGGGTGGGGGGTGAGATCTACTCTCTGCCAATGGGGGGTGACAGCAGGGAAACAGGGATTTCTAGGAACTTTGGGTCCTGATCCTGGAGGCAAGTGTGTTCTGCTGGCACAGCCATACTCCCGACCCACACTTCTTGGTGGTTTCTTACCTGTCCTGTGCTTGGTGCTCGCCATCTTTTCTCACTGTCACATGGTTTTGGTTCTCTTGGCCAGTCGATGTTGTCTGTTTTCTTCATACTGTATCATTTCCTAGATAGTTTTGCTGTTTGCCTGTCAGAGATTTCATGCATTCCTCATTTTTTACCTCTCAGAGATAAAAGTCTCTCTTAGAGATGTGCAGGGGACTCAACTCCAGTTTCCATCATTCGTCTTTGTACAGCAGAAAGTCATGCTCCTACCTTGCCTTCTTTATCGGTCATTAAAAGATTGATTTCTGTTTCTAATGCTGAAGTCTTCTGTTTTATGAGGTGTTCAATATATATGCTGCCCTTAACTGTGTAATTTTTAAGTAGATCTGAGAAACTTCTTTATGTAGCAGATTTGTTCACGTATTGAGTAACTGTTATGCAGTGATGTGAAAGGTGTCGTTGACAGTAAACTTTGAAAACAGTTTCTTATCCTCTGGACTTCAATTCTTTCATACTTCCCTCTTTGGATGATTGGGGGGGAGAGTGTAGAGCACAACCTTGTGAAGCTAGACAAAGGAGTCAGAATGTTTTAGCTGCTGAAAGCTTTAATTTGCAGTTCATGGATTTATTTTTCTCTTTCTTTATAATTAGGTTGTTCTTCCAGCTGATGCTTATTGTGTTTCCCAACAGCTGCCACCTTCCCTCTAGAGGTTGCTTAATTGTTTAAGTACAGCAGAGCGATTTCTGGATCTGTATTTAATGACTTGAAGATGCTTCTTGGTTGAAACATGCCCTATGCTCCTATGTTAGTCAGATTTTGATTTAAGTCTGTCGCACTAGCTGATGTACACTGTTACTGGTCTTTAAGGCAGTGATAGATAGCAGAGCAGAGTAAACACCAGAGAGTGTCTTCTGTGCTTGACATTGTGCAATCAAGGAATGAAGGCATTGCACCTTCATGGCAGGTAGGACTAGTGGGTTTTCAACTGTGCTGATGTTTCCCTTGTATTTTTTTTTCCTCAGGACCCCTACGGTGTGGCAGTAGGAGGAACAGTGGGACATTGCCTATGCACTGGTTTAGCAGTTATTGGAGGGAGGATGATAGCACAAAAAATTTCTGTAAGGACTGGTAAGTGAAAACTCACTCCAACCAAAATTAATGCTGGTAATGTCTGTGGTGTAAAGGACTACATGCTTGGGAACTGTGTTTCTCAAAACTTCTGGAAAACCCAAAACCTTTAGTTTTTTGAGTCTGACTTCCATCCCACTGCCCCCTCTGCCCCGCTCCATGGTCAGCTCCCCTCGTGGGGGGTGACCCTGCGCTGTTCCTAGGGCTGCGTGTCTCTCCTGCCAGGCAGAGTCCGAGTGTGTGCCACCACCCTGCGCGGGGTGCTTCTAAGGGGTCTGGCCTTGATTGAACTTAATGGTTTGCTGACTCTGATTTAAGGAATCGAAATGGGTATTGTAGCTCTAGGTTTAAAGATGGACACAGGTGAAGCACATTTTGCTTCACTGTTAGCTAACTTGTAGGAGACCAGAGAAAGCAAATACAGTATTTTGAATTCAGTTGGTATGTACTGTTTGACAGTGGGTAATAGAAATTCTGTCGTAATTCTGAGTGCAGACCTTCAGGTGGGCAAGAGAACTGCATACTTAAAAGTTATGCCAGCCATATAAAAGCTTTAAAAGCTACTCTGTGTGTGGTGGTTTTTTTTTTTATCATACCTGCTGTCTGTAACAGGAAGTACCAGTAAGGTTACATTGGGTTGTTTTTTTTTCTCCTTAGATTAGGTTGCAGCTTGTTTCAATTGTCAGTCCTGTGATGTAGTGAGATTTCTTGCTCCCAGGAAGGATTCTGTGAAGCTGCTTCCTATAAACGCTCATTCAGAATATTTGTTCTGTAGTTGCAGAGGTTGTGAAAAAACAACTTCACTGCAGAAAGTGAAACGTGCATTCTGTCTTGTTTGTTTGCAAAGGAAGTTGATGATGAGGTGCTAATCTAACAATGATTTTATATGCTCCCAATAAGCTCAACATGGATCTTTGGCCACAGGAATAGTCTTACTAGGTTAGACCAAAGATCCATCTAGCTCGTTAGCTTGTTCAGAGAAGAGTAGGAGAACGGTCCAAATACAATGGTGCTTTCCTGGAATACTGTTCCAGCCTCCAGCAGCCATTGCAAGCAGTTAATGTTTTTGATACTGTCTCTTTCAATATAGTTACCTAAACTGTGCAAAAAATGCTAATTAGTATCTCACTCTTAACTGATGGCTTGCTCTAGCATGAGAATATTGTATCTTTCTTTCCCCTATACAGCCAAATATTCAACAGCAGGCGTCAGCCTCAGTTTTATACTAGCTAAAGTAATAAGAGTAAAACAAAGCTTCCTTCTAAGGACCAGAATATATTCTTGTAGATGCAGTTAGACAATGGGATGGCATATGGGCATTCTGACACTGAGCTAGAAACAATGTCCACTGTTTGCAGCATAAATTTTAAAGTAAGATTATTTGGGAATCAGAAATTTTAAAAAAACAAACAAACAAAAAAAACCCAAAAACTGGAATGTGTCATGGAAGATATTTAACTTTCAGTATGTAATTTCTTTTTGGTTTGTTTTTTTCTTTTCAGTGACAATCATAGGAGGCATTGTCTTCTTAGCATTTGCATTTTCTGCACTATTTATAAGTCCAGACTCTGGTTTTTAAAATTTTTCATCACTGCAGAAGAACAAGGATTGGAAGCATCAAGCAGCTATCCTTGTGCATTTTTGTATATAATGTACAGAATTATAGTTAAACTGAAGCACTGAAGATGAGACACTGAACTTTTTATAGCAAATGGTTCATGGGACTGACACATTTATGGACAGCTGCTGCAGTGGAGACCTGCTTATTGTCTGGTTTGTTTACTCTCTGGTGCCTGCTCCCTTGGTGGGATTTGCGTGGTTTTCTTGCTTGCTGGACCTGGCTCAGCTGAGTTTTGAGGATCTGCTCTCATAAGTATTGAGGCTTCCTCTTTTCTTCCTCTGTTACACGTGGCCACCTTTCCCGTTTCTTCAAGAGCTGGTTCTTAAGGCTTCTCGAAGCAGACTGTGTCTTGTTCCATGTTGCTCAACAGACGGTGTTAAGGAGAAAACTGCTGGCTCCCATCTCCAAGGACTTTTGGTTCCAGGGTGCACCCAAGGCTGGATAATCTAAGCAACAAGAAACCTGGGAGCAGTTCCTATACCATTGAGTGGCTGAGCCACTGACAGAATTTTATAAATTTAATTCAGAGGGAAAACTTCTTAATCAGGGATTTTTATTGGGAAATTGATGTGTGGTGATTAACAACCTACCATGTTCAATATGCAATCTGTCTGGAGCTAGTATTATTTGACCTTTTTTTTAAGTTTTGAAACATTAAAGTATACGGAAAGTAATAAAATGGTCCAACTTAACAATGTTCCATTCCCAGGATTGAACAGTAATGGAATTCTTAGATTTAGATGTGTTCCTGTTTTTCTTTTTAGGAATAGAAATGTAATCTGGAAGAGTATTAATAAAACATAGTGTATCCATTTGAGTTATTTTCAGTATTGTTTTTGATGGTTCTCATAATTCCTGCCACAAAGGTTTACCTAGTGATTATGTACTTAAGGTGAAGAAAGCTTACTGAATTTATTTTGGATACTGCTATAAATGCCAGTTATAAACACTTTGAAAATGTTGACCACTGAAGATATGTGGGTTGCTGAAATACATGCTTTTCTCTGCTCTTCAGTGATGATTTGGATTCTGAGCTAATGGCTTAAATAACCCACTAAGATCTACCCAGTAGCAGTCTTGTAAAAGAGAAGATATGGCTTCTACTATTATGAATCTGCCTTATTGAAGCTAAAGCAATATGGAGCATTACAAATTCAATCATTCCGTTTGTAGCTCACAAACAGAGCAGTCCCTAATCCTTCTCTTAGGTATCTCTGCCCGGAAAACCCCTTAATGCCACATTTCTCAAACTCTTAAGACCGCAGCAGCGCAATGCCTGTCACGCACAGTGGTATGAAAGCAGGCTACAATTTCAGGCTCCAGGTCTAAATGTTCATGTCTTGGCCTGAAGGAAGGGTGCTGCTGGCAGTACTACCGCTAATTACTAGGTGAGACACTGCCTTGGCTTGGTGTTGTGGTTTTCTTGGTTTTGTGTGTGGGGTTTATTTTTTTCTCTTTTTCTTTTGAACTAAACATTGTAGCCAAAACCTGCAGCCTCTTTTTTCTCACAGCCTGGAAACACATGTTCTGTCCGTGGTGTGTTTCAACTCCTGTGTGGAGGGATTTGTGGCAGAGGTCATGTTAAAACAGGGCAGGAACAAAGAACCCAAAATAGGGAAGAGCCTGAACTTTTAACTGTTTACTAGACAACTGCTTGTATTAATCAAAAGCAGTGCTGCTGGGCTACAGTATGTTCATAGAGATGTATCCTGGGTAAAGTAACCATGGTGCCACTGTTCATCCTGCTTTTTCTCAAAATCAAGAAAGCCAAACCAGTTGGCCATTCTGTAATGTAGAAGGTTTCCAAACTTTATATGCGCTGCTCAAAGCTGTTTTGATATGAAAACAATTAGGATCAACAGAAAAATGAAGCTATTTAATGTGTTTTTGTAGAGGTAAGTGTGAAGTTGCAGAACAAATCTCTGCAACTTCCACATTTATATTTTACTACTACAAACTTATACATGATGCTAAGCACTGCTTTTGACCAGTCATAGCAATGTATGTGACTGCTCTCTAATGCTAGCCAGGCAGGTGGGACTTAGTTTGAATACTGGTCTTACTTGTTTGTGCTTTTAAAAAAAAAAAAATTGACTTATCCTCGGAAATCTAGTATAAAATTAGATAGCTCATGAAATTTTAGTAGAAGCTTTGAAAGGTGCTTTAGTAGTTGCTAGTAATTACAGTGATTTAATGTTGTCAAGTGCCTGTTGGAATTTTTCACAATTTAAAGAATCTGGTCGGGGTGTAACGGAAGCCTGTTGGAGATGGAGGACGCCACTGACTTATTTTTAGCAGCACTGCGTCTGCTGCGCTGCCTCCAGCACAGATGGTGTCCTTCCACAGCGTCCCAAAGCACTCGCGCCCTGGCCACCTCTTGCCTGTTGGCTGGGTCAGGGGTTGGGATTTTAGCAGCTTTCGTTGTACTTCTTCCTTGTACTTCTAGCGCACTGCCATCAGAGAGGTGTGTGGCACTCCTCGGTCTTGAAACACCTGGATACTTGAGATATAGGTAGTATCGAAGGAGAGTGTGTGTATTTGTGTGCAGAGAGAGAGATATATATATATATATGCATACACACACACACACACACACACACACACACACACACATATATGGCTTACCCTTTAGGGTGAGTGTGCATCAAAAACTTTGTTAAAGCCTTTCCTTTGCCTATGCTTTCCTTAAAGTAGTGGGTCTGAATTGAAGAGGCAGGTGTGTTGTTGGCAAGATGAAGTAAGTCTGCTTACTAGAGCTAAAACGTGTTCTGGGAGAGTACGTGAGCTGGGTTGCTGGCCCCTGGGCTAAAACACCCCGTGCAGGAGACACTGAAGGCCGAACATGAGAAGGTCTGGGCTGATGCTGCAGTGACTTGACCCCGAATTCAGAGGGTGGGGAGGTGAAAGCTAGTGTTTTGATGCTTGAGGTGCTGATGCATGTGGGTGATAATTCATTCCCTGCCCCTCCTCCCCACCCTGTGCCCAAAGCAGAAGCTACTGATCTCTTAGTAAAAGAAACTCTGTTTCTCTACTTCTCCTTATCCCAAGAGATGAAGTAGGAACCATGAGCATGTCCTTCCGATTGAATGCGCTGCGCAGCTCAGTAGGCTCATGTGTTGCACCTTCATCTAACTTTTTCCTTCAAGATCCTCAATGACCTGAAGTGTGTTTCAACAGCAGAGTTGGGCGTATGGATTATTTTCTTCTCAGCAGCTAGCTTAGCATTGGCTTCCTCTCTTCCGAGATACTGTCCTGACAAGTTACTTACCGACTTGCAGGAGCGTTAGGCCTGTGCATTAAAGCACCAAGGCTGAGCAGAGTGTGTGGATGACCAGACTGGGGGGTGGGGGGAAAGGTGTGACGTTACAGAGATGCTCAAGCTATGAAGTTGTAGCCAAGCGCTTGGGGAGGGTGGTTTAGTGCTTTTGGCCACGTCAGCTTGCTCATGGGGAAGAAATACAGCCACACCTGTGGTTCAGTCCTTTGAGCTGCTCTCGGGCAGGTGGGAGGAGCATTTGCAGGGCTGGGAATTGCAACATCTCAAGTTTCAGGATGGCTGAGCAGGCTTGATGCTGTACTGGTGGGGAAATGTGTCCCGCCTGGCTTTGTAAATGCTTCTGTCCTGAGGCATTGAGTGTAGCCACTTGCTAGATGGTGGTACTTTTGGGGAAGCAGCTGGTTGGTATATTAGCCAGCCAAGGCCTGCCTTTTCAGGAACAAAATATAGAAAAAGTTTAAATAATAGCTTTTTTTTCCCTTTTAAATGGAGGCAAGTTTGGGGGTTGCCTTGCATTTTAGAATATGAAAGAAACACTTAAGGTAACTAGCTGAAGTTTTAATTGTCACAGTCCTGTTCAGTTTCTTGTTCTTTCGTAGCTGGAGAACGTGACATACAGCGAGCGAGTGTTTAAGTGTTGAAGGGAATGCTCTGCGAATCGTTGCGCCTGCAACATGGGAGATGATGGGCAACTGTCCGCCACAGGCTTCCCATCCGTCCTGCGGCTCTCCCTGTTGGGGTGAGATGCATTGGCAGCTGCAGCCGAGGAATGTGCATCTCTGCATGTGCTCACAAGAGAGGTTTAAAAGCGCACATCACCTGGAACTACTTATTTCCAGGCTGGAGCAACAGAAACAAAATGGAGATGACGGCGGTCCTACTGGGATGAAAAAAATCTCACATCAACTGAGACGTTTAAAATGAGAGAGCGCTTGTGCTTGTTATTTTCGAAGGTGCCTATTCCCAGTCCTGTGCATCTCTGCATGTGCTCACAAGAGAGGTTTAAAAGCGCACATCACCTGGAACTACTTATTTCCAGGCTGGAGCAACAGAAACAAAATGGAGATGACGGCGGTCCTACTGGGATGAAAAAAATCTCACATCAACTGAGACGTTTAAAATGAGAGAGCGCTTGTGCTTGTTATTTTCGAAGGTGCCTATTCCCAGTCCTTAGGTAAAGCCTGTCTCATTACATCGTACCTGGCAAAGTGCAATAAGGAAAGATTGAGGTAAACTTGGAATTTCCATCCTGCCAGGACAAAGTTTTTCAAAGGAAACCTATTGAACCAAAGTACAGGTCCAGTTCACAAGCAAGCCTGTTCCTCCTAGGGCAATGCAAGCAGGTACGTATACGCTGGGCTGGTGCTTGGGCTTGCCGTTTTGCGATATAATAGTCAGATACCAAGTCTGGAAACTTGAAAGTTAATGAGCGGCTCTATTCCCCGAGTGCTCTAAGAGGCAGCCTGCTGCTGTACAGGCTTCCCCTCGCCTCAGCTGCACCTCCAGCTCGGGGCAGGCTGCGCAGCAGCTGGAACGCTGCCACCGTATTCACGTGAGCAGATTTTACAACACGTTTCTAGAAAGGGCTTGCCGGTTGAGCCTACCTATGTGTTAGTCCCAGATCTTGTATATTAAAAAAAATCCTCTGCTCTTGAATTAAGAGGATCAGGCAGTTTCATTCTAATATAACCCGAGTTATCCTTAATTTCCAGAGACGTGGAAATAATGATGTAATGGCACTTGCCGTACTGACATGGCATTTTTCATAGATGACCTTGTACAGCCCCTGAAGGCAGCACCCTTGGCAAGTTACAGCTACAGGCTTTTGCTAATGTAGATACAGGTTACATTTAACCCGTAACATTTTCCATCTATATGTGGCAAGTACTATAGATGTGTATTTCTTCTGGATTATTTAAATTTACTTCCCAAGTGAAAATACAGTTGCCAAAGGGTCTGACAGTGATAGAGACCGTGTGCTACAAAGAATGCTAGTAAGACCGTGGAAATTTTTGTTCTTATTGTATGTTACCGTCGAACAGCTGAAATCTTCTGGAATTTATATTACTAATGCCCGAGTCTCAGAAGTGCAACTAACCTTTGGCTTGCTAATCTTTACAAGTACTTAACAGTTGCATTCTCATATAAGCATGGTTTTTGTTTCTAAGTTTGCACGACAGCAAAATGCCATTGAACAGCA